CCAGAGTATCTGGGCCTCCCCTGCCGCTCCCCTTAGGGCTCGCCACGGTACCAGGCCCTGTCCTGTCCCCAGCTCACCCTGACACGGGAGGCACGGCCCCTGTCACCCCCTGTGGGTGGCTTTGCACCGCAGGCTGCACCTGGTTTTCCTCACACAGCGCCTGCCCCATCCCTTGCAGGGGGTCCCGCCACCCGCAGCAGCACTGACAGTGGTTTGCATGGCAGCTATGAGGGCCTTGAGTCTGCAGTGATGCCCCAGCGACCCTGCTGCAATGCCTCTCAGGAGCTGTCAGCCCTAAAAGCAGGCAGAACCTGCTGCGGTGGCAGAGGAGCTGGCTGTCGGGTGTAGGGAGCACTTGGGGTAGAGGGCACCAAGCGTGGCACAAAGCCTGGCTGCACTCCTGGGTGCTGCAGTGACAAACAGAGCGGTCAGACTTGTTCCTGGAAATAAAAATGATCATATATTAGGCAGTCTCGGAGATTATTCATGAGGAATCTGTTGCAGCTGCTTTTCAAGATAACCTATCAGCAGAGTGCATCTGTAGCAGGATGTCCTTGGGGGCTGCGTGGATATTTGAACATCATCTGCTTATAGCTTGAAATTCTGCCCTTTACAAGGCCAGGAATTAGACAGGAAAGGGAGGTGAGAATGAGGATGCTTCCAGGGACAAAGCTCATCGTCCTGCCTCTGTCTCTTGCAGCACAGGACACCCTCAGCCTCTAGGTTCAGACATTAAAAGTACTGGGAAACCTTTCCTGAAGATCATTTGGGGGATGGGAAGGGCTTGAACGTGGCATTTATGTCTAAAAAGAATCAGTCAGTTCACAGGTTGGTCTTGTATTTGTGGAATAGTTTGTTAGCCCTGCCATTGGGGTGGGAACGGGGGCACTTTTTGTTTGGTTTAATCCTTTATAGTCTCCAAAATAGTTCATCCAGGCCTTAACATACAAAAGTGAGCGTGCTCATTTTGGGAGAAAATAACATTTGAATTGTTCTTTTAATTTAAGGCTTGTAACGAAGAAGACGACTCGCTGTTCCACAGGCTGCTTGCTCTGGGTCCCGGTGCTCTCTGCGAGCACGCTGAATAAAGTGAAATTCATGTCTGAGGACCGGTCATCGGGGCAGGATGGAGAGCTTGGGCTTGCAAGCAGTGATCCTTAGTGACGGGACGACAGCCTATATTCAGCAGGCTGTCAAAGGTAACGGTGCCTTTGGGCTGCAAAGTCTAAAAGCCTCTGGATTGATTCTGTGAAATGAAGGTCAGGCTTATCAAAAGTGCATCTTTTACGGTTGCTTTGTACAGGAAGCCAGCAGTTATATCTGTTGGGTTTGCACACCAGAGCGATGCAGCAGAGATAAAGCACGCCTCTGGTTTGGAAATAAAGCTTTGGAGGTGGGAGAGCTGTTGCTGTAGTAAAGAAAGGTTCTGTTCAGAGTAAAGTGAGCCCCGTTATCTCTTGGGGAAATGGAGTTCATGCTATGGCTGCAGGGCTCTCTTCAACCACAGCTTCCCCCGATGTTTGACTTCCATGAGATGCACAGACTTTGGTTCACAGTAGTGCTTTTCTCCCTCAAAGGGGTGCTGAGCTCTTGGTGAACTGCAGCGATCTCAGTGCCAAATTCAACACCTGCCCTTGTTCTGGTGTTTGTGAGGTGCTGCTGCTTTCACCACCCGCACTTCCTCAGAAGAGGAACACGTTTCCCAGCCTGCGGAACAGGACGGTTGAGTTGCAAAGGCTTCATGTCCTGGGATTTTCTCTCTTTCTTGCTTTTCTGTGCAAGCTCACTGCAAGTTTAACATGTGTGGAGTTGGACTGTCTTAAAAACCACTGGGTTTGGGTCCCAAACATTGTGCACCAGGTGAAAGCAACCTGGGTTCCTCATGTTCAGGTGGGATAGAGCATTATCTTCTCTGCATCAAAATAATATGGTAACTAAAACATTACCACAGTGTTACTCGGAGTTATGTTATTTAAAGAGTCCAATCTTCACAACCCATCAAGGGTGGCAACACTTTAGGTCCTGTAATTTTTTTCCAAGAGTTGATCCTGTACTAAAGCAGAAAGAAATAAATATTCAGGCCCTTGCTGCTGCTGTTTAAAGCTCCCAGTTGATTCCCCCCCCCACCAGCACAACTGTAATTGCTTTCTACTCCAGATCCAAAACACTTAGCACACATCATTCTTTCTGCTTCTTGGCTTACAGAGCTGTGCAGGGCAGCTGGTAAACAAGCGATGACTGAGGTTCTTTGTCTTGTATCCTCCTGTCTAGGAAAGGGAGGCTCCAGCATTTCTGGGAAGTTGAGTGCCTCTGTGGCTATTCAGGGAAAAGCCTGATAAATAACAGCGTATAAGCAACAGTTTTGCTGTCTTCTGTGGGACTGGTTTCCATGAGGAGATACAGCAAAGGGGACAGCTCATGGGACCAGAAAGGCTGGACTCTGCAGGCAGTGCTGATGATGTTTTTCTCACTGTTTCAGGTGAGAAGCTGATTGAAGGGCAAGTCATTGAACTTGAAGATGGGACCGCAGCTTATATCCATCAGGTGACTGTTCAGAAAGGTGAGGGCCATACATTCACCTCTTTCTTTTTCGAAGGACGTTGTAGATGTAACTGCAATTGTCTGTGTTCCAACAGTTGGGCTCCTCTATTAGCTTGAGCTTTAAGAAGTCCATGTTTGTGTAGGGGTTTTTGTTTTCTTGCCCATGGTTTCGAGGCTGAATGAGCAAGGGCATAGAGCAGGTGATTTCCTGCAGAGTTTCTGGCAATCCGACAAGAAGGCAAATTTGTGGGTGGCTTAAGCAAATGTTGAAGTGTTATTTCACCTGTGGGCTCTCTCACAGTTGTCAGCCTGACAGATCACAAGCCTGCAAGCCAGGCCAGTAAGCTGTGTGCTGTGTTTGTGCCAACCACAGAGCCCAAAAAACAAAGTTTGTTTCGTGTGGGAGCAGTGGGGCAGGAATTTCCTCTGAACTATGATATATCACTTCTGGAATAGGTGTTTGGAGGAGGGGAGGGCATTGTTGGAGGAAATGTTCTGTTGTTGGCCCAATGTCACCTCTGAAATGAGGTGAATGATATATTACTTCTGGAATAGGTGTTTGGAGGAGGAGGGGAGGGCATTGTTGGAGGAAATGTTCTGTTGTTGGCCCAATGTCACCTCTGAAATGAGGTGATGTTAATGAATCTGAGAGTTAATGGGAATTCACTTCGTGTAGCAGCAATCACAGTGGCACAGAGGAATCCTACGTCCACAATAAGCTGTAACAGGGCAGGTAGAAATGATTCTCTTGCACTGGGCAGTCCTCCCTTTGCCCTCCCAGGTGCCACCTCCCGTTTCTGTTCTTCAAAGGTTGCTTGAAACCCACTGAGCCTTCCAATAAAGTGTGGGGATATTTTTTTCTTTTCTTTTAGAGTCTGTGGCTTTTGAAGACGGTCAGCCAGTACTGTTGGAAGATGGCAGCATGGCCTACATACACAACACAGCCAAAGGTAAAGCGTGTTCCCAGTTTTGGCAGCTGGAGCAGAAGCAGATTTCGAAGGCTGTAGGTAGCCCAGGGAGATGAGGAGTGCCTCACGCTCAGCAGCTCTTTTACATTTGATCTGATTGGTTTCCCTGTGCAGAAAGCTATGACCCCAGCACCTTCGAGGCCGTCCAGCTGGAGGACGGCTCCACTGCCTACATACATCGTCCTGTCATCGTGCCACCTGGCAGCACCATCCTGGAAGTGCAGGCAGAAACTGGGCTGGAGGAGTTGGCTGGAGAGGAGGAAGATGATGCCTTTGATGTTGAGACCATTAATGCACTGAAGCAGTACGCCAGTAAGGTGAGGATGCAACGCTTCTTCCATGGTCTGCCAGCAGCACAGGGGCTGCTGTAGTAGTTCCACATTTGGCCTGGGGTTTAAGTGTCCTCCCTTTGTTAGTACTTCTATGTATTTGGGTGGTTTTTTTTCAGCAGTGCCAGCTATGAGAAGACAAACTGAACAGGGCTCCTGTGAGAGTGTCTCCACTGAGGGTGGCTGATAAGGACCTAGAACGAGGAGGTTTCCTGCTGTACCCTTTAGCTACTTCCTACAGAGTGCTGGCCTTTTACCCTTAACCTGCTGCAGGCACAGATTTGGGAAGAGCAGAAAGCTGCAGTGATACAGCTTGGATTTTTTTCTTGCTTTGTATGTCCCTCCTTCAAGGTGTTTTCTTTCCGTTTCCTTGGTTTCTCACACTGCCACCTGGATATGAGATTCTCTTCCATGATGCTTCAGGCTTATCCAAGAATAACCTTTTACATGTCAGGAGTGGCTAAATTATGGCCTCGAAAACCAAAACAGCCTCAGATCCTAGCATGTTGTCACTGCAGTGCTCCACCTGAATGTCTTGAGCGCTGACATTTGCTTCCATCTTCATGGTGTTGTGTGAGAAGGGGCTACCAGGAGCGTGCTGATACAGTGAGATTTGTTGATGGAGACCTTTCTGCCCCCCCCCAGCTCTCTGGAGAAGAGTGGGGTGGCGTTGCTGCTGTGAATGCCTTTCCACTTGGGATGCTCACCTGCTCCACGCTGTACAGGGAGGTATGACCAGCACCCCTGCCTCTTTGCTTGTAGGTGTCTGACAAGGAAGAGGAGGGAGTGACAGACAACTGCCACACGAAGAGTGAGGATTCCAGCAACATCCCTCCTCAGGTCTGAATTTTCCAGTGGTGCATTTCTGAAACTAGGCAGAGCTCCTCTTGATGCAGAGCGCTTTGCCAGCTAGTAATTAAAACAGCTTTGAGGCTTCTCTGCAAGGTTAGCAAATCCATGAGCTGCAAGTTTTACACATGAGCTCAGTGAAGCACAGAGAGGCGAGTTCTGTGTCTGAGAACACCCAGGGAGCTGGGAAATCCTGGTTCCTAGACCCCTGCCCTGTCACCTGGGGTTTACCATATGTGCACAAGCTGTGTTTGTAGGAACATGTTTTTGTGAGGATCAGAGCGCATGTGCGTGAAATGATTTGTGGGGGCTTTGCGAAGCCTGCTGTAGTGGCTCGCTGAATTAATTTCCATCCGTCTCTGGGCAGGATTTGCAGGAGGAGGAGGTGCACAGCAGTGAGAAGGGGCAGCAGGTCGGCAGCAGAGCTTTCCGTTGTGGGTACAAAGGCTGTGGCCGCCTCTATACCACCGCCCACCATCTCAAGGTAAAGCAGGTGACGTGCAGTTGCAGAGTGCAGACCAGACACATCCCCGTGTTACAGTGCCAGATCAGAGCGCTGCTATAGCAAAGGCTGAACTGTGGACTTTGTACCCCAAGAGTGTTAATCCACCAGCTACAATTCTCTGCAATTTTCCTTCCTCCTTGCCTTGCACCTCATTTGAAGGACCTGTTCTTTCCTTTCCAGGTACATGAACGTGCTCACACAGGTGACCGGCCATATACGTGTGACTTCCCAAGCTGTGGGAAAGCATTTGCTACAGGTAACAACTTCTCCTTTGAGCAAATTCTGTTTTCTCTCCACTCCAAACCACTCTTGAGTATCAGCCCTGGCTTTTTTTCCAGCAGAGCACAATGGGCATAGTTTTTAAAGCCACCTGAGAAGGAATTGCAGCACAGGAGACTGCCAGGGACTTGATTGATCATGGACAGATTAAAGGAGTTATGGAGGAAGCTGAGTTGTGAAGCTATTTGGAAACTTATTCCCCTTCGGTTTTGCAGACACAGGACAGACATTCAAAACTTGGTGGTACACAGCTTTCTGTATTATTTCCTTCTCGTTGTAAGATTTAATTGTAGTTTCTTTCCTGCACAGGTTATGGGCTGAAGAGCCACGTGAGAACACATACGGGTGAGAAACCATACAAGTGTCCAGAAGACACGTGTAGCAAAGCCTTCAAAACTTCTGGGGACCTACAGAAACACATCCGGACCCACACAGGTGAGCAGTACAGGAGGAGAACTGAGCTCCCCATCAAAAGGGTCTCAGAGATAAAGCTGCTGCTTCAGCCTTTGTCCAGGACGTGCCTTTTGGTACCTTGGGTGAAGCAAGGCAAAACTGAGGTTGTCTTCAGACAGCAGCAGATGAGTAGTACTAGGGATTTGTTACGAACAGCAGAGCAAAAGGGATGCCGGTGTTGTCAGGGGAAATGTGCCAGCAGTTGGGTCTGATCTGAGGTCTCATAGGTGTAAATACTGCGGAGGAGGGAAGGGATTTGGGTGCCCGAGACATCCCAGGTAGCTGCGCTGTAGCAGGATTCTCATCCATGTTACTCTGTCGATGCAGGCGAGCGTCCCTTCAAGTGCCTCTTTGTGGGCTGTGGCCGCTCTTTTACCACGTCCAACATCCTCAAGGTCCACATCCGAACGCACACAGGCGAGCGGCCGTACATGTGCCCGGAGCCCAGCTGCGGGAGGGGCTTCACCAGTGCCACCAATTACAAGAACCACATGAGAATCCACACAGGTAAGAGGAGGAGAGGGTGAAATGCATTCAGCTCAGTTGGCTGCGTGTGACAGCAGGGAAATCTGGGGGACTGAAGCAATCATTTCCAGGCCTGGCATTGCAGGTGTAGATCTGGGAGTAGCCAGCAAGCTGAAGGGAATAGGAATTGCTTTACTAAGCTGATTATTCCAGTTGTCCCAGTGGTTTCACAGAATCCCAGACCGTTAGGGATTGGAAGGGACCTCCAAAGCTCATCCAGTCCAATCCCCCTGCCGGAGCAGGAACACCCAGATGAGGTTACACAGGAAGGCGTCCAGGCGGGTTTTGAATGTCTGCAGAGAAGGAGACTCCACAACCTCTCTGGGCAGCCTGGGCCAGGGCTCTGTCACCCTCACTGAGAAGAAGTTTCTTCTCCAATTGAAGTGGAACCTCCTGTGTGCCAGTTTGTGTCTGTTACCCCTTGTCCTATCATTGTTTGTCACCGAGAAGAGCCTGGCTCCATCCTCGTGACACTCACCCTTGAAATATTTCTAAACATGAATGAGGTCTCCCCTCAGTCTCCTCTTCTGCAAACTAAAGAGCCCCAGCTCCCTCAGCCTTTCCGCATAAGGGAGGTTTGTCTCCAGCTATTCCCTCTTGATGGAAAAATCCCTTCCCAGAGCATGAGGAGGGGGACTTGGTTAAGCTCTGCTCTGTGGCCTCCACCCTAGGAGAGAAGCCGTACATGTGCACCGTGCCGGGCTGCGGGAAGCGCTTCACGGAGTACTCCAGCCTCTACAAACACCACGTGGTCCACACGCACTGCAAGCCCTACACCTGCAGTAGCTGTGGGAAGACCTACCGCCAGATCTCCACGCTGGCCACGCACAAGCGCAGCAGCCACGGCGAGCTGGAGGCCACGGAGGAGAGCGAGCAGGCCCTCTACGAGCAGCAGCAGCTGGAGGGTGAGCTTTGCCATCGCCTGCGGTGGGCTTGGGTCAGGCTGTGCAGCAAAGGGGAGAGAGAGAGGACAGCAGGAGCCTGCAGCTGCTCTCTCAGCCCCAAGTCTGTGCTGGAGCTTCCTGCCTCCCCCGTCAAATCTGTGGCCCAAATGAGAGTAATGGGTTCCCCATGGTCTTTGCTTTATGTCACGGGTTGGGAATGGATTCCTGCCCCTTTTGCAGTACAGGGAGAGGTAAAGGCCCTTCTTCCCAGGCCAACACTGGGCTGTTGTCATCATGATCTTGCACTTCTCTCTGCTGGCCCTTCAGGCAACAGGCAGGTCCTGGGGTCAGGCGTGTGCTTTCCCACTCCCATCAGCCTTTCTCTCACCCCTTTTGCTCTTCCCCTGCCCTGACTCAGCTGCTGCTGCTGACAGAAGCTCCCTCCTGAAGAGCCAGCATATTGCTTTCCTGTCGGAGATGGAGGAAGATGAAAATGAAGAGGAAGATGATGGTCTGCCTCCACAGGTCTCGCTTATCGCTCAGGATGGGACAGAGCAGGTATGGACACTGACAGCCTCCAGCGTGTGGGGAACAGCAGTCAATTCTGACTCCTCCCAGCCCTGGTGTTCTCTTAAAGGCTTTTTTCAGCATAAAACACACCCTGGGGCTTCATGGGCTCTGTCATGAGGGCTCCCTCCTTACCCCGCTGCTGCAGTCTTGGTGTGGAGGATAAAGAATGGGCCTCTGGTCCCCTCCTTGCTGGATGGGCTCTTGCAGATGTTTGCCCAGGCTTGCATGCAGCACTTGGCACCCTTACCTCCTGTCCAGCTGTGGAGAGGCAGCTCCCAATCTCTGCTGACACAGGCTGGGTTGGGAGATTGGTTTTCATCATCTGTATATGGCAGTGCTTTTTTTGCACTTCCCTCCAGCAGCTGCCTCTGTGCTGACTGGGAAAAGGTCCCTTCTGTGGCATGGGCCAAAGGAAACGGCTGCCACGAGTGACGCCTGTTTCCTCTTAGTCTGAGATGCTCCCTGCTGCAGCAGTGCCTGGAGAGGAGATGCTAAATGGGAAAGGGAGGTGAGGTGGAAGGGGTAGAGCTGGAGAATTTGAAGTCTGCGAGTTCTCCATTGATGCTGTCTGTGACCCTGAGCAAAGTCCTTGAAGTGCTCTGTGCCCTAGGTCTTGCCTGCAGAGGAGGAGAGAAGATTTCATCCCTACTGAGACCTTTGTGTTGCTAAACTCGGGAGTTGCGTAAGGCTTCCTGAGAAGCCGTCCTGGCTGACAGCATCTGCTTTTATCCCGCCCAGGTCAGTTTGTCCCAGGAAGACCTGCAGGCCCTGGGCAGCACCCTCAGCGTGGTGACGCAGAGCGGTGCCCTCGCCGTGCCCGAGGAGGAGCCGGTGGGTGGTGACACACACACTGTGACCGTGGCCAACGCCGACGGCACCGAGACGCAGCCGGTACAGCCAAAACTGGGCCTTTCCCTTTGCCCTGCAGAGAAACAGCCCGCTGGAAGGGTATTGTATTTCCTTTTAAAACATGACTGTGTTTTAATTTGACTTCTCCCAGGTTACCATAGTCACTTCTGGAGCAGTCCTGTCTGAAGAATCAGCCATCACATCCCTCTGCCATCAGCAGGTGGCATTGCTGGCCACCGCCAACGGCACCCACATCGCGGTGCAGGTACCACGCAGCTCCTGCCACATCCCCCTGCCTTCCTCCACCCTCCCACTGCCTTCAGCGCTCACCCTCTTGCTTCGCTGCATCTGCTCTTGGCCATCCTTAATTCCCAGCTGCCTTGTGTAGAGAGCAGAGCCAGGATGTGCTCCTTGGACTGCAGAATGCTGCGTTGTAAACAGCCTTTCCCCATCCTCGCTGTGTCTCTCTGCTCTGCCCTGCTGCTGTCACCCAGTGCCAATGCCCTGTCATGCTGGGGGCTGCCCTGAGTGAGCCCACACCTCGGAGCCCACCTTTTGGGAGGACAGTGTTGTTTCTGTCTTTCCTCCCGTAGTTAGAAGAGCAGCAGAGCCTGGAGGAAGCCATCAGCATGGCCGCAGCAGCGATCCAGCACGAACCCATAACGCTTGACGCAGCCGTGTCCGAGAACGGGTGCTGAGCCCCTGCAGAGCCTCCGGGGCAGGGAGCACGGGCACCCCCTGTGTGTCCTCCATGGGGACATCGGGAGCGGCAGGAGAGGTGCGGTACCCGAGCAAGGGCAGATGTCTGAGATCAGCATCCAGTGTGAGCACCACGCAGGCGGTGAGAGCTGACACCGGCAGCGCTGGGTGGCCAGAGTGACCCTGCTCACAGGGTCCTCCCCACAGAGGGACGTTGAAGACACCTGGCCGCTGCCTTCTCCTGGAGGCTCTGCTGTTTTCCTGGGCTCTGAGCAGCAACTTTCCCTGCTCCTTCCCTCAGGCATTGATCCCCTCTGTCTGGAGGAGATGGCAGGTTGTGTCTTCGAGTATTTATTTCTCCACGGCTAAGATTTCCCATACCCGCCAGTCTTTTGCAGTAGAGGTGGAGCCACAGAGATTTTGGCAGTCTCTGGGAGTGCAAACTCTTTTTTGGAGAGGTGTTTCTTGCCCCTCTCGCTCTAGGAATGGCCTAAGAGCTCCAGTTTCCTGCAGGTAAGGGGCAAGTGGGCAGCGTATGCACAGAAGCAATAAAGCCCCATCAAAGCCAAGCCCGGGTTGTCCTGGGCTCGGTGTCTGGAGCGGTTCCTGATGCTGGATCGAGTGCCCAGGCTGGGTCCGACAGTGATTCCCCCATCTCCTACCACACTCTGCGGTCAAGCAAACTTCTTTACCCTCAGCACTGCGAAGCAGAGCAACGCGCTCCCTCCCCTGAAGCATCTGTCGAGGGCTGAGCTCTACTTGGATGTAAATACTGAGCTGAAATAAAAACAAATCTAAAATGTTCTTTTTTTAAGAAAAAAGTAAGCGCATTTCTCCTTCAGTCCCTGGGGCCAGTGGCTGGCAGAGGCTGGGGTGGACGTTACTGGTTTGCAGATGTTCGGGTGGGATGGACGTTACTGGTTTGCAGATGCAAGGATTAAGGAAGTTGAGGAGATTTGCTGAATTGACTGAAAGCGTCCTCCCAAAGCAGCAATTCTCCAAAAACGGCGCTGAGGGAGGGTGTGAGCAAGACCAGTGGTAGCTTCTGAGCTCTCAATGTGAGTTTTGGAGGGGCTGGGAGCTGTCTCCTGCCTTCGCTCTTCCAAGGGCTCCTGCAAGCCTGGATTAATACCAAAAAATATCAGTGAATGCATCCCACACCCCTCTGAGCTGGGGAGAGAGACCTGGACCGGCTTCAACCTCAGCCCCTCTGCTGCGTACCTCGGCTCCGGGCAGTTTGTGGGCAAAGCCAGGGCAGGGAGCACTACAGGATGGCAAAGATGATCAGGTCCAACCACAAACCGAACCCCATGCTCCCAGCCAGCAGGAGTTTATTATTTTGGTTGTATACCCGAGGAGTTTGCAGAGGAAGAGACAACCCGGGAGGGCTGCGGGGTCTCTGCTCCCCTTCCTTGCTGCTCCCGATCCCAAAACTAAGCAGGGCTGGAGCCTT